ACCCCCCGCGGGGGGGGGGGAAAAAGCCCGCCCCCGGGAAAGCCGGCAGAAGCCACCCCGCTGCGGCTAAAAGGCAGCTGAGCTGCCCGGAAAATCCCTCCGGCTCTGCCTCGGCCAAACCGCCACGCGTTTTTTGGGTCTCAGAAGTCTCTGCGGGGGTTTTTCTCCCCCCGCCCCGCTCACCTTTTTCACCATGGTGGTCTCCGATGAGTCGAGTTTGGCTTTTTTGGTGTCCGGCCCGTCTTCTACGCCGGGGCTGACTTTAGCGACCTTGGTTTTCTCCCTACGGAGGAAAAAAATAGAGCTCGCTTTGAGAAACCGCAATCCTCATTCGTGCTGCTAAGCATCAGTCTTTTACGACTCTTAAAGATTTAAAATCTCCAAGGTGTCGAAAGCAGGCGGCCTCCCCGGGTGGGTGAAGGCGGCCGAAACACCGACGCCCTTCTCGCGGGGCCGGTTCCTCTCTCGCCACCCGTTCCCCGAAATCCCCGGACTCACTCCACGAATTCGTGTTCCCCGAGGTCGGCAAACATATAGCCGTGGTAGCCGAAAACGTCGCCGGTGAAGAACTTGACGCTGTTCTTGTGGCAAATCTGGTCGATCTTCACCATAACGTCCCGGGAGCAGCAGGTCAGGCAGACCTGCAGGCAGAGAGGGGTTGTTCTCGGCATAAAAATTGAACGTTTACCCTCGTTTTTCCTCCTCACGGGGTTATTAGCGGGGTGTGAGATCTTCCCTGCCGTCCTGGGGCAGCCGGGAAGGTTCCGGGTAGATTTGCCGTTTCGTTCACAGCGGGGCGCAACGCTTGGGGTAATTATCAATTTTCCCCTCCCGTCACATGGGCTAATTCTCAAAGCCTTCGCTCCGGGGATAATTAGGAGGTTAGGGGATACGGCATCCCGTTTCCGGATAATTTCGGTGGGAATTGGGGGACGAAGCTAAATAGGGATATTTTTAAAGCTCAGGTATTGTGGGAGCGGAGGAGGATACGCTCCCCGCAGGGCCACGTTGTTATAATCGGCGCTTTACGTTCCCCTCAACGGCTCCCGCCGCCCTACAAGGCCTGGATGCTTTCCTCCCCTCGCTTTCAGAGCCGCTGCCGGATTTTTCACCATCCCGCAGGAACGGCGAGGTGGGGAAGCAAAA